ACCACTCTCGTATGGCTTCAATAGGGCTATTTGAAGCTTTCTTCTGTCTTCTCACATTCTGTTACTTGTTTCACAAGATAACCCCTAAAATCTACCTTTGGAACTGGCCGGTTCTCGGTATGCTTCCCGGTGCGCTTGTGATTCTCCACCGTATTTATGACTGGAGTGTCGAAGTTCTCGAGAACTCCAACTTAACTTTCCTATTCAAGGGATCATGGTTCGCTGGAATGGATATATTGGTCACCATTGATCCAGCTAATATTCATTATATTATGAGCTCAAACTTCTCAAATTACATCAAAGGTCCTGAGTTCCAAGAAGTTTTTGAAGCTTTTGGAGACGGGATCATCAACACGGACGCGGAGCTATGGAGGAATTGGAGGAACGCTTCTCAGGTTATATTCAACAATCAAGGGTACCAAAACTTGTCAAAAAGTACCACCAGAAGAAAACTCAAAGACGGTCTTGTGCCTCTTTTCAGTCAATTTGCAGATGAAGAGATGGTTGTGGACTTGCAAGATGTGTTCCAGAGGTTCATGTTCGATACAACCTTCATTTTTATAACCGGGTCCGATCCTAGAAGTCTCTGCATTGAAATGCCAGAGGTTGAGTTTGCTAAAGCTCTTGACGATGTTGGAGAAGCGATTCTGTATAGGCATGTTACACCGAGGTTCTTGTGGAAGCTTCAAAAATGGATTGGAATCGGAACAGAGAAGAAGATGACGAAAGCGAATGCCACTTTTGATCGTGTTTCCGCAACATACATATCAGCCAAGAGAGACGAGATCAAACAAGGGAATGGAGAAAGCGAGGATCTTTTGACATGTTTCATGAAGCTAGATACAACCAAGTACGAGATCTTGAAGCTGAGTGATGATAAGCTCCTCAAAGACTTCATAGTAGGTTTCATGGCAGCAGGGAGAGATCCCACTGCTTCTGCACTCACTTGGTTCTTCTGGATTCTGTCTGAAAATCCGAACGTCTTAACCAAGATTCTCCATGAGATCAACACAATTCTACCAAGAAACGGAAGTGACCAAGACAAATCATCCTACTTGGACAAGTTGGTGTATTTACATGCCACATTGAGTGAATCAATGAGGCTATACCCACCAATTCCATTCGAACGCAAGTCTCCAATCAAACCAGATGTGCTTCCAAGTGGGCATAAAGTCAAATCAAATCTCAATATTCTCATCTTTATTTACGCGATGGGGAGAATGAAAGCGGTATGGGGAGAAGACGCAATGGACTTCAAGCCAGAAAGATGGTTTTCAGAGACAGGAGGGTTTAGACATGAGCCTTCTTACAAGTTCTTATCGTTCAATGCCGGTCCAAGAACATGCCTAGGTAAGAATTTAGCTATGAACTTAATGAAGACAGTGATCGTGGAAATATTACAAAACTATGAGGTTAAGGTCGTCAATGGACAAAAGATTGAGGCAAAACCTGGTCTAATTCTTCACATGAAGCATGGGCTTAAAGTCACGATTTCTAAGAAACGTTCCAGCTTGGACTTGGAGTAATATGCTCAACTCAAGTTGCTTTAATTATTATCAAAATGTAACCATATGATTAAGAAGCTGCTAGCCCGCCTCCTTCAATGTTTCTGATTCGATTTATATGTTGTGTTGTTGATAGATTTGTTTAGAGGGTTTCTTTTTGAGGGTTCAAAATTTAGTTTTAATTATGGTATTTTTGAGGGAAACTTTCCCACGGATTCCATCGAAAAATTTCAACGAATTTCCATTGAATTATCATTTCCGACTAGGGCAAACGGACAAATCTGTCGGAAATCTGTCAGAGAAATGGTTATTTCCCACGGTTTTTCAAGAGTTGGCCATCTGAAATTGGGTTTTTTCTTGTAGTGTTTGCTTTCTCATATTCTATTACTTCCTCAACAAGAAACTCTTTGATTACTACTCCCAGCATAGCTACCCTTGGAGCTGGCCTGTTCTTGGTATGCTTCCAGCTGTGCTTGTGAGATTCAATTGGATCGATGATGCCATCTGGATTATCGAGAAGACCAACTTGACGTTTCTATTCAAAGGCCCTTGGATCACCAATGGGGATTCGTTGATCACAGTTGATCCAGCTAATATCCATCATATATTGAGCTCAAACTTCTCCAACTATGTCAAAGGACCGGAGCTAAAAGAGATGCTTGATGTTTAAGATGCGGTATTCAACACTGACTCAGATCTATGGAAGAATATGAGGATGTCTTCTCAGTCCATGGCCAATCATCAAGGGTTTCAAACGCTATCAATGAACACCACAAAAAAGTAAACTCAAGGATGTGGTTCTTCCTCTTTTTAATCACTTTGCGGAGGAAGGTACGGTCGTGGACTTGCAAGATGTGTTCGGGAGATTCACGTTTGATACAACAATGGTTAATATTACTGGATCTGATCCTCGATCTCTCTCGATTGAAATGCCAGAGGCTGATGAGTTTGCTAAAGCTTTAGACAATGCTGCAGAAGCGTTGTATAGGCATCTTATGAAAAGATTCATGTGGAAGTTGCTAAGCTGGATGGGATTAGGGACAGAGAAAAAGATGACTGAAGCTACTGCCACTATTGCGCGAAATACATATCAGACAAGATGACACGACCCGATCCCGATCATTTTGAGCCGTAGGTCTCGCGCCCTAACTTATACAACAAGAAATAAACCTGCACACACTTAAAAGGGAAAAAGAGGGGTGAGTAATTAATTACTCAGTGAGCGAGGCGGCAGACGCCAGCCCGCAGTGATCCATAATACAAAATAATTTATAAAGATTAAACGCATATACTAAAATATGAAAGGGCACACGCAACAAACAACCTATCATATCTATTTACAAGCACCCTCGTGTCTTATTACTATACATAATTATCATTCCAATACAACCCATATCGTATCGTATCATCTTAACATCTCATCTCATCAT